ATTGTAGAGGGGATATAAACGAAAGAGTGGTTTTTGGCGATTCGTGTGCTGATCCCCTTAACGAAATTCTCCATGTTTCTTGCAAGAGTTGGGTAAATTTTATAAGGTTATAGAGCCATTAGGTTATTTTGAAACAGGACACATAAAAAACATGAAGTGCCCTCACCGGGACTTGAGCCCTGGACCTCTCGAATACGCGCCGAGTGTACACCACGAAGGCATGCTGAAAAGGAAGAAGAGAATACTTTATATACTCCGCCTTTTATAGGGCGGGGACATTAGGGGACTCGCCAAATTCTGGTGGTGACAAATTATTGTCCACGACCTTTTAGTTTAGAGTCATAAGGTTATTTTGAAACAGAAACCATGAAAAGTGAGCAATGCCCTCGTCGACACTGGAACCTAGACCCCTCGAATACGCGTCGAGTGTGCTGAGGTTACACCACGAAGACATGCTGGAAGGAGGGTGAAAATACCTTATAAGGTATCAAGTAAAATTAGTAGCCACGAACGTATGGATGACCGAATGAGACGGAGAATTGTCGGTGATTGGTGCCAGACTAGCGCAGGTGGGTACAGAGGACAATATAGCTCTCAGTGTCGTCTGCAGTTTGTGGGAATACTTTCAGGCCACTGCATGCATATCGAGGAGACCTTGAAAGGTCGACCAAGATCCCCGACGACGATTGAGGATCGTTATTTGGCACTTTCAATGCGGTGACACAGGACTGCTACAGTTTCACAGCCCTAACGTGCAGAGATGCTACCACGAGAACTCTTTCACTGTCTACAGTTTTCGGAAGGATTCATGACATAGGGCTGTGTGTTAGAAGACCGGCTGTTTGCATCCCGCTTACTGTAGCATAATTAGAGCACTTTTAGCATGGTACAGACAACATGCGCCTTCGACCAAACTTCAGGGGAGCACCGTGCTTTTTACAGATGAGTTGAGATTCTGCCTGGACTCTGATTCTCCGCGTGCCTGTACCTGGACAGAGCCTGGAACATCATACCATCTCTTGATCACCAGGGAAAAGGATCATTGCGAGTGTGGAGGTGTAGTGGTTTGGGGAGGCATTACGTTAGACGGCCGCATACACCTACATATGTTTGACAAAGGCTCCCTGACTGCTGTGAGGTATAAAGAAGAGATCTTCAGCCCCACGTTCGACCTTTCAGGAACGTAGTTGGTTCTGGGTTCCTGTTAATAAACGATAACGTTGGTTCACATAGGGCTCAACTGATCAATGGTTATCTGTAAAATGAGGATATGACGTGGATTTGTCAGCCAGATCTCCTGATTTTAATCCTGTACAGCCTGACTGAGACGCTTTTGGGAGGTCACTTTTATCTCTCCATCCCCTCGGAGAACCAACCCGAAGTTGAAAATTGCCTTGTTGCACGAGTGGGTTCTACTATCACAGGGATTGCTCAACTGACTTCTGTCCAGATGCAGTCACGCTGCACGAACTGTAAGGTTGTCAGAGGGTACCGTACTCCATATTAGACTCATTTTCAGTACGATATCAGAATGTGTATTTTGGGCTTCAACTAGTAATCATGCGCGCATAAGATGACTTTTTGGATGGTACTTCTCTTTCTCTGTTATAAATGGTGGTGTGGTGTGGTGTATTTAATTATGGCAAAGCACACTAGGGCTATCTGCCTAAGGGGGGATGCCTTCGTGGAGGACTTTCTAAGGGAACTGGCTCGTATACACGTTACACATGGGAAAAACCACGAAAACACCCATGCAGCCAGCCCGTTCGCGGGATTCGAACCTCGGACCGAACTACCAGTGTTCAGCGACTTTACCGCTCGGCCACTGGTCGGCCCTCTGTTATAAATGTATATTTCTATCAAATTTTACTAAAACATGTCCATTAGTTTTTCAGAAATTTGACATAATGTGCAAATTCTCTTAATTGAACCCGAGTGTGATATAATTAATTACCTATGTAATTTCACAAAAACAGAATTTTTAAGTTAGGAAACATATCTGTCATAAAATATTTCACTTTATAAAATATTCTAAATTATATTGCGAAATAAAGGAAAGTCAGACTTCATTTTAGAAGTAAAATAAAAAATAACTTTATATCAGAAAGCGAGCATAAAATAAACATTATTCACAATTTCATTTTATATTCCTCTCGAGCTGAAATTTTTTAACGAGTTTTGTTGCATTCAATTTATATGTGGGACGTTATAAAATTTCTGTAAATTATACGCTGAAAATAAGCCTCGAATTATATCCGGGAATACCTAAATACGCGAGTGTAGACGATAGTAATTAATAATTAACGTTGTTTCTTTCACTAAAGAGTTAGATCTCTATTACATATAAAAATCCGTGATCTATGAAGTAGAAAACAAGAATGAATACAATAACGGAAAATAAGTAGAAACTCTTTATTAAAATTCTCTGGCCAGAAAGTTAAAAAAAAAAAAAAAAAAAAAAAAAAAAAAGCTGGATCCTTTCATAGCTGGGTGTGTCTGTGCGTCTCAGTGTATAGTGTTTGTGCGGCATGGGGCACTCAAAATATGCGGCGAGCCAAAAGTGCTCTCGAGAGTTTGGTGTAGAGGAAGAGGGGTGGGAAACCCTCGGATCCGCCTGCTTCTGGGGTGCTGTCCGAATTGAGCATAAAATTGGACTGTTACGTACATGTGCTCAAGGCTTGCGCCAATGACATATGCAATCTTGTACGTCTTACCACGGCAATAATTCGTGGGCTTGTTCTGATTATACTAGACAAGTGAGATTAGTAACAACAATTAAGTTCCTTGAGGGGGGTTGTATAACAGAAACGAAGCAATAACGTAAATAATTAGTACGCAAATAAATAAAATTGTATTATGCATTTTTAATTGAAATTTGCAATTATAAATTATTTAAATTCTAGATTGGGATTGGGATTATTCAATTATGGCAAAGCACACGAGGGGGCTATCTGCCTAAAGGGAGGGGTGCCTTCGTGGAGGACTTTCTAAGGTAAACTGGCTCGTATACACGTTACACATGGGGAAAACCACGAAAACGCCCATGCAGCCAGCCCGTTCGCGGGATTCGAACCTCGGACCGAACTACCAAAGTCCAGCGTCTTTACCGCTCGGCCGCTGGTGGGCTTTAAATTCTAGAAGTGCATTAAATATTAGTTTAAATTTCGATTATCATTTAATCGGACGGTATTTTTGTATTTTGCACCAGTGCCGTGAGCCCCACCACTAACGTAATACTGTGTACCAGTGCCATCACTACGAGTGCCGGGTGGTTAAGACCACTGAATACTGGGAATTCGATTCGGGTTCGATCCCAGACGAATGATCTGCCTACATTGGTTTTCGGGATTTTTCCCGTGTGTAACGTGAATAGGAGACAGTTTTAATTGGGAAATCATCCAGGAAGACGCTCCCTCTTAGGAAACTTAGACAAAATTTACTTCTCGTATTCCAAAGTGTCTCATATTCCTTAAGAGTTATCCAAAGTTCAGTCTTCTTTTTTGGATTTTAATATAAGATTACGTTTTCAATATTTCTGCCGAAATTCTAATGGGAAGTAGCATAAAATTTGTTTAAATATAAAAACAGTTCAACATTTGGAATAAAAATTTAAACATAATAAGGAAAAGATTGAAATTCATGATTTTATTTGACATTCTCAGAAAAGTAGAATATTCGCCACGTTTTAGAAAATTACCCCAAATTCATGAAAATAATCTCCGGAAAATAATCTCCGGTTCGCTCCTCGACTAATTTAGGGCTCTAATTAAAATTATTAAAACAAATCTAAAGTGATTTCAAGCTTAGCATGTTACTGTAAATAAACAATGGCATATTTTTTTAAACAAATCATTTTAAAAATAAGTTCAATTCAAGTAATAATAGGAATAAATAAAATATTGCATTAAGTGAAAAAAAATAATAAATTAATGCTTTTTACTTGTACCGAAATCGACAAAAATTTCAGGTAACGTATTTCAACGGAAATATACATTTTGACAGTTCTCGAATCCATTTCGATGCTTTTTTGGGTGAATACGAACAGAATAACGGAGTCTTTTTTCCAAAACGTATTGTAAAAGGCGTTTTAAATGGATTCAAAAGAGATTTTGTCTGTACGTACATCTGTACGTACGTATGTATGTATCTCGCATAACTCAAAAATTATTGTAGTTGAATGTTGAAATTTTTGTATGGGACTGCTGTAACCTCTCGCTGTGCACCTCTCTTTTTTAATGCAATCAGCCGAACCAAACATGTATATATATCTATATAGATATATACTATATGGTTAAGGGGCACCGTTATCCGGCCTTTAATTTCGCCGCAATCTTTGGTTGTTGTCGTATAGTTCCAGTTATAGATGTGTTTTAAATGACGGACATATTCATGTTTTGGCAATGCTAAATTAAAATATATATATATAACTATTTCGAGAAATAGCGAAATCTAATTTTTAATGCGGTTTCCGGCTTCCTATACTTGTATTTGAGAAAGTGTTATACTCGTTATGCAAAAATAAAATTAGATGTTTGACTCTCGTACGACAACAACAACAACAACAACAAAAAAAAAAAAAAAAAAAAAAAAAAGGGGGGGTGGATATTTTATTTCAAAATTTGCAGTTTTTGATGTCATTTTCAATTTGTCTTAAGAGATCATTAATTAAGTTAGAGTAATTCGAAGAAATAAGCTTAAATGAAGTGGTGCAGAAAGTGTGTGTAGTTTAATAAGCGGTACAAGGAAATTATGTGGTGTCCATATAAGATTTTTCTTATGTATCATTTGCCTACGTTGGCCAATAGGAACACCGGCAAATTAGGGATTAAACTAAGGGCATGAGTTGTTGCAAAGAGATAACAAATAGTTTTCTCGAGCTGTGAAAGTTTATCTATTAAGAACAAACAATACCTTCTCGCCTGAAAGGCAAGTCGTCACGATTTCCATTCAGTGCGATAACTGAAGAATAAACGGTAATCAAAATCACCCTCAGGGCTCGTTTCTTCTTGTGTGGAAAAGGGGGAAAGAAACGAGAGATAAAAAAGCAACTCCTTAGGTTTTGTTTTTTATCGCTTTTCCTGCATTAAATGTTCTGTGCTGTGGAGTGTTAGACGACGTTTCAAGTTTCGACGAGAAAGAAGCAGTCATTTGCATGTCGTACCACGGTACGTGAAACAGTAATTCAACCTTGTGTCATCCATTGCAAAATCCATAACAGAGAAGACGTCATAATGAATGGTAACCAAGGAAGTGTAATTCTATGCGAATCGACCTTCTGGGTATGTTTAAAAAGAAATTTTTCCTTTTTGATTCATGCTTGAGGTAGTTTAGCACAATAAGTATCCCGAAAGATGCTCGTGTTTGAGGAAGAACTGAACTTATTACCAGAAAGATGTAAAAATAAAACTTTAGATGTAATCTTTTTTTTTTTATGCAATACTCAGAAAGTTTATTTTATTTTATTTTATTTTTTTGGTTGTTGAGTAACTGGTCTTTATGCTCCTTCTAACGTGGCTTTGCTAAAGAAATTACTTTTCTTATTAGAAAAACTATTTTTGATATTTTTATTTCCCTCAATATAAAACGGTTGACATTATTTAAAGTTATTTATGAAGGAAAAGAAAGCTCGCGTGTAAATTACTCTCATTTATATCAGCTTGAGAGATTGAACGTATTCTTGAAGAAAATTGTACAGCTATTTTAAATAGCGTATTATTTTAAGATACTGTTTTGAGGTAAAATAATTTAAACAGTTCCTTTAAGTGCAGAAGTTATAAAAAAATGATAAATCATTATATTAAATACAGGACAGGGAAAAAAAAAAAAAAAAAAAAAAAAAAAAAAAAAAAAACCCGCATAAGAGTCACCGGACTTTACCCTACTGTGATATAGGTACTATCTCATGATGCTTCTGATCCATGTATAAGGTACTTTCTCGCTTCTTTTCGCGTGCCTTCGTGGTGTAACTGGATAGCATGTCCAACTAGCAATAAGGAGGTTCGGTGTTCGAATCTCAAGAAGGGCAGTGGGCATTTTTAATGGCTCCTGCTTTATATATATATATATATATATGCATATATTTAAACCACCATCCTAATGACGTGTTGCGCAGTGAAGCATCCTACAGAGGCTCCGTGCTATCTTTCCGAAACTATTTCATGCGGTTATTAGTTAGAAGGTTCTGATCACTAAAATAAAAATTAATTATTTCGTAACAACTATTGTTAGCAAATATCATAGCCTTGTTCCGAAAGATATTTGACAATTTCATTGATTTTATCATAAGTTTGGATTGTTTTCAAATATCTTCGAAATTAGACTTCGCTTGGCTGTTTACCAACATTCTGGTGGACATGATAAAAGATAATACTCTGCTTTTCTTCATGTCCAAAGTTTTCTCATGTCAAAGGTGCTTTCGTCAGAAACACAGTTGTCTGAGGAAGACTTTTTCTCTCATAGCAATAGATGGGGAACGGGCCATGTCCAAATATGAAGTGATTTAAACGGGGGTTAATGAAACGTCTTTTGTTATTTATTACATTAATTAGTTGTGTTATTTTGCCTTGGGGAACAGAGTTTTATTCATACTGACAAATTAAATTTATTAAGTAAGATTCTCACTAGTGTATTTCTCAGTTACTATAGAAAGTGACGAATCTTAAGGACTAATTAGCGAATAATCGCTTAAGTTCGTATAACAAGAAACAACAAGATGGAAGGGTAGCTAACCCTTTATTGTTCCAATAAGATTTGACAAACTCCGTCTTGGAGTGTACAATAAAAGCCGACACTTCGGCTTGAACTTAAGAGACTAAGAAATAAACTAAAACTAAGATTAACTATAGAGATATAGCCGAAGCTATCAAGATTCTAATCGAGTTGGCCCCAACAACTTCATATGACAGTATATATCTCGTTGGTTGGCCCCTTAACTCTATTTGACTACGAAGCTTATCAAGGGTCTGAGTACGGCCGAGCGTAATAACAGCTTTGAGAGAGAGAGTAGCCAAAAGGCAGACGCGCGCAAATCAGAAACTTTCTCTAACTCAGCAAGTAGACTTCGCGGTTTAAATACCGCTCCTTCTCATTCAGTATTCAGAGTGATTCCAAAACTACGTTCTGGCCAGAAGTAGTAAGTTAAAGTTAAGAATTTGACAGGAAAGGATCTTTAACTTAAAATTTAACTGTTTATAAAATTAACATAATCCTTACAAGTGTTCTTTTTCTTGAGATGTGACTTTGGTCGATTTATATTCATGACATCGGAACTGGATACAGTGGCTGTTCTTGGTTGGTTGACTTATATAATTATGGCAAAGTACTCGAGGGCTATCTACCTAAAGGAAGAGATGCCTTTGTGCAGGTCTTTCTAAGGAAAACTGGCTCGTATACACGTTGAACATGGTGGAAAACTACGAAAACGCTCAGCTCGTTCGCCGGGATTCGAACACCAGACAGAACAACCCATGTTCAACGACTTTACCGCTCGGTTACTGGCGGGCTCACAGTAGATGGTCTTTGGCAAGTGAAAGGGCGTTTTCGTTTTGAAGTTTGCTATTGTACGTAGCGAAGGAAGAGAATCTGATTGGATCGTGAGATTATTGCATTTATTTATAATTAAAATTTCTATTGCCGTCTTAATAGATAAAATTTCCGCTTGGAAAGCTGTATTTTCTGAGCACAGACGTCCTTTCCAGAGTATTTTTAGATTTTTGGTTTTATGGCAAATACAGGCTGTTCTTGACTTTTCACCTATGTTTGATTCATATGTGCTGTTGGTTACGTATCTGTATGATCTTTAAAATAGATTTTGTTGTTGAGAGAATTTCGCAGGAGGCCGGGAAAATGGAGAGACTAGGAGTTCAAAGCTGTTCGGACCGTATATTATTCCGCGTAAGGAAGCTTGATTCCTAAACTGTAATATTGTGATTTTAAAGACTTCTAGCTTCAATGAAAGCATTAATAGTGGTATTCCGAAGAGCACACAGAAAACGGCTCTATAAGAGTTACAGAATAATTTTGCATTGTTGAAGATATAAGGTTGAAGGGCACGGAGCTGTTGCTTCTTCCTTCCTGCCACAGGAATAGCCCAGATAATAGCTCTAATTAACAATTTGTTTTACCAAAGTGCTGAATAGTAGCTTTTAGATATGAATATTTAAGCTGTGAACTCTCTTATGGCAACCAGCTCCTTAAGACGTGTTTTTGTGGGGCTGTTTGTGTCTTCAAACTACAGTTTGTGCTTTAAAACTGCAATTTGTGCCTTAAAACTGCAGTTTGTGTCTTAGAACAGCAACATGTAAGTCATCTGGAGCATTAAATTAACCTTAGGTAAGGCATTGGTCATTGACGTCAGTCATCTGAAAAATAACAAGAAAAACACTTACACGAAAAAGAAAAAATTAGAACATCTTCAGGGAAAGGAATTATAGATTATTCAACTCATAGAAATCACTTCATAAAGCAATTGGAATCTTTTTGCAAGTCAGTCACTCTTCTTCAAAAAGACAGAAACCTTCATATGGGCACCACGGTCTGAAGGTGCATGCATCTTTATGAAGGTGATTTTCCGATTTGCAAAATGCAGCTTTCATAAGAGCGCAGACACCTTAAAACTAAGATTTTGCTATGCAAACAGGATTTTAGTTTGCTACTTTGATTAGCAAAGTAAGTAAAAATTTTATTTTCATTGCTACTGCCAGACGTAAATGTGCCCGTAAGTTTGCTTTTTAAAAGTTAGAAACTGATTCTCATAAGGGTATACACATCTTTGTCCCGGGATACCCTTATGAAAGTTTCTCTCTTTTCGAATAACGATCGACTTGCATATAGGAGCCGGAGATTTTTCTGAAGGCGATCCAACTCATCGGGAAGACAATGAGATCTGCTGTTATGAGCTTTTGGCAACTGCAGAAATTGTAAGTTCGTGTATAATAACTGAAATTCTTAAAGAATTCAGGGATCATTGGCAATGCAATCGAAAATTTTCTTCTACTGGTTTGAGAATAAAACAGGGCATACAGTTGTAGAACTTGAAATTGAAAACCACTTCACCGACTTTTGGATCCAACCAAGTTGTTTCATGTAATTAAATAAAAATCGTTTTAGCTAAAGGAAGACCTACTAAAGAATGAAAATTAAGAAAAGGTGAAATTCAAAATATTTATCAGGTAGAAAATTACCACAGTAATTGAAAAGTTGAACTCATGCAGCAGAGAAATATCTCAAAATGAAACTGTTTAACACATTAAAATTATTTAAATAACTTTTTCAGTTGTTAATAAAAAGCCTACAAACCGAAACTTTGACACGAATATATTGTACGGTTACTATTACTTTACATTAATCAGTTATTTATAAACTTAGCCTTCACTTTCTTATCACTTCTCCTTTTCCGTTACCCAACCAGATGTAAAAATCAGTTACAGGGTATTTAAGCTGAAGGTTTTAGATTGTAACAGCGTGTTTCTGCCTGTCAAGACATCGTTACAAGATTTTCGGCAACTCTGATAAGATTATAATTCTTCGGCTTTGCGTTATTGCTACCGACATTTAATTGCTACATCACTGAGAAATTCTAAGCCAGCTTAAAATTAAAGTTAAATTGTGTAATTTTTGACTACTAGGCTAAGTTTAAAATTTTGAATTTGCCTGCTACTATAAGCTGCAAGTGCTGGCTAATTTTGTAAGCACGAGACGTGTATTTTATTCTCAGGTTTCTGGTTTAATATAAAGGCTATTTCAACCTTTTCGAGTCTCTCTCGTTAACTTCTGACACAACGATAATTCACTCCAAGTCCGTTAAGAATTTGGACTTAATTTATGCTACGAAAAAAGGTCACACTCTATCCCAGGGCTTCTTAAACATTTTTCTTAAACCCAGGACCCACATAATATTTACTAAAGTTTTGTGGGACTCCATAAGCATTGCGCAAATCCGACACACAAACTGCCAATTTCGTCATTTGTACTGTAATATACTATTGCAGTTTTAGGTCATTAACTTTCATTTCTAATTTTAAGGCGTAGAACAATGTGAAAATTTTAAATACGTAACAGACGAAATTGCAGCGTCATGTGCAAAGCAAGTAAAATGAACGTTTATATTATAAATAGAATGCGTCGAAACGTTTTTTTTTTTTTTTTTTTTTTTTTTTTTTTTTTTTTTTTTGACACCCACAGTTTAAGAAACTCTGGTCTATACAAAAGAAACCTAAGGCTACCAAAGAAGGTCAAACCCTTTGCAATATGTGGAAACTTAACTGATAAAAATTCAAAA